GCCCCCTCTCCGTCACCCTCTTCCCTCTCTTGCCATCCTCTCACCCTCTCTCGCCGCCCCGCTATTCTCACCTTCCTGCATCCCTCTCCCCCTCGCTCTCTCTTTCCGTTGCTGGCCCGTCACATAACGAGCGTTGAGCTGGCCTGTCGTGGATGTTGGCGTTGGGCGCTGGAGTCGGCACCGAAGACAGAGCCCCGCCCCCCTCCTGCCAGCCTTCCTTGTCGATCTGGGGTCATTCGGGTGGAGTGCGCGGAAGCCTCGGGATACAGAAACTCATCGGAACTCATCGGAATTCACCGCGAACGGTGATTCCGATGAGGCGTGGCATCCTCAAAGCCTAATCCCTCCCCTCCCCCGTCTCCATCCCGCATTCTCTCTCCTCGTCCCTCCGCCAATTCAGCATCGCCATCATCATCACCATCACCATCGGCCACATTATAATCATCATCAGCATCAGCAGCATCATCATCATCAGCATCATCATCATCATCATCATCGTCATCATCATCATCATCATCGCCATCATCATCATCATCATCATCATCATCACCCCCATCGCCATAACCGATAATAGTTGTTTGGGATCGGGCCTCGCGACCCTCGGCGGCGATCCACGGGCCATCCAGCTGCCATGGGGTCTCCCTGGAATAAGGATCGCGTGGTGGCGGCCATTTCTCGCCGCGGCCGCTTCGCATTCGATGAGATCCAGAATCGCTGCGGCCCGTGCGGCCTGGACCTGCCAGACTGCCCTCTGAAGGTCATCGGCAGTGTCGTGGAGGGCGCCACGGTGCCGCCTCCGCCTGCTCTCCCGCCGACGCCGCCAAGGCCACCGCCCACGTGGATGCCGTCATGGGTGGAGCTGCCGATGATGGATAAGCAACCCACGGACTGTTGGTGGTACCCAACGCAGCCAGAAGCCAACATCGCTGAGTGTTGGCTTCTGCCACAGTGGTCGGACCTCGTGGGTGGCTTCAGCAGGCTCAGCCGCCCCGCGAAGGACCCGTGCGCGGTCGCGCTCGTTTGGGTGGACGAGGAGAACGCGACTCGGTGCCGCGGCACCAACCCAAAAGCATCACATCCCCTTCCATAGTGAGCTCCACCGAAGGCCACATAACGGCTCGACCCTTGCGCGGTACCTCCCATAGGTTTGTGTGGTACAACGTGACGATGGAATGAGACGTGCTGGCGGCGTTGTAGGCCCTCATCCGTGAGGACAGCCCGTCGTCTGCGCTCTCTAACCAGCATTGCCAGCGCATCGCCATCATCAACATCATCCCACTCTCTCTGTGTCTTCTATCTCTCTCTCTCTCTCTCTCTCTCTCTCTCTCTCCCTCCCCTCCCTCGTGCTCTGTCTCCCGCTTTCCCGCTCCATCCCTCCCTTTTTTTCCACCCTTTCAAAGCGAGGCGGGACCGCCAACCTCGGGGGAGGGCGACGAGGCTGAACAGGGGGTGGAGGGTGGCCACGGGGAGCGGGTTCGAGGAACCTTGAAACGCGAATGGGGGTAGCAATAGAGGGGCTCGAGAACAGGATGTCGGCCCCAGCCCCTGCGCACCTCGAGGTGTACACCTCCCTGGGGCAATGGCTGGCGCGCCCCCCTGCTCCAGATCCAGCCGTGGTTCGGGGTGTTTGGAAACCTTCCATGTCGACGCCCTCCTCGCGCTGATCGTGCGCGCTTGCGCCCCCCTCCCATCGCCCGCGCCTGATTAGTGGCCACTGTGCGGGGGAGGAGGGAACGCGCTGGCTCGATGAGCGCAGGGGGAAGGCGATGCGACATGGGAGGTTCATTTGTATCCCGCGTGAGGCACTCAATGAGGCATTCAAGAAAGCACTGGTGATGGGAATCAGGAACGTGGCAAACACGTGCAAGCGTGCTTCGAGGGGCTTAGATAAGGTGATCCGCAATTCCCTGGCACAGGCATCATTTTCCTTCTACCCCCTCGTCGTCGTCGTCCTCCTTTTCCTGCTCCTCCTTCTCCTCCTCCTCCTCCTCCTCCCCCCCTTTCCTATCCTCCTCCTCCTCCCCCTCATCCTCATCCTCCTCCTTCAGGGCTGGCCAACACTCCTGAGAGAGCCAGAGCCGCTCGTACAATTGGGTGACCTCACCTACGAATGGCTGAGCAAACTCAGCCGCGAAGGCCACCATGTGTCGTGGTGGTACCTTCTGGGGTACGAGGGCCCACTGCTTCCCGACGGCTTGCCCCACCGCCCAGGACGTCCCTTGGGATTGGAGCGGCACTTCATGATAGGGTGAGGGAGCCTGCGGCGCAGGCAAGGCCCCAGCTTTTCCAGGGGGGAGGTGGACGATGAGGAGTGGGAGAAGGAGGAGGAGGAGGAGGAGGAGGAGGAGGAGGAAGGAGAGTGGGACGAGGGAGGAGGAGGAGGGAGAGGGGGAAGAGGGAGGAGAAGGAGAAGGAGGAGGAGGAGGAGGAGGAGGAAGGTGAAGGCAGCTCAGTTCCGTTCAGCCTGCGTGCGTAGTGCATGTCTGTTTGCTGACAACTGCAACGCGAGACTGGTCAACATGGTTGACTGCTCGCTGGGGTGCAAAAGGAGTTGTCTCGCTCCTCCCACTCCTCCTCCTCCTCATTCTCCCCCCCCGTGTCTTATTCCTCCTCCTCCTCATCCTCCTCCTCCTTCTCATTCTCCTCTCCCTGTCCCTCGGCATTCGGCACGCCGCCAACCTCGTCGAGGCCAGGCCCCTTTGCCGCCAGACCTACACCGCCAGGAGATGTTCAATGGGTTTTGCCAGCACAGTGTCAACCTATTCGGCCACCCCTCGGGTGATAAGGAGGTTGAGGGAGGGGAAGAGGACCCAACGCCCTAGTCGATCGGCCCCTCGATTGATCACTATCGGTTCCACTGCGGGGTCTCGCGATCGATCTGACTATCAATCTCACGAAAGATCTCGCAATCGATCTCAATATACAACTCACGCTATCGATGACATGATCGATCGATCGATCTCCCGATCGATCTGACTGTCGGCCCCACAGTCGATCGCACGGTCGGCCTTACTATCAATATCACGATCGATATCAAGAACACTCCCACATCGATCGCATGATCGATCTAACTGACGATGTAATCGTCGATAACGCGAACGGCCGCACGACCGATCCTACCATCGACTTCGCGATCGCCATCGATCTCACGATCAACCTCCCGACCGATCTCACTATCGATCCCACTGGGATGTCACGACCGATCGCACTATCGGTCTCACGATCGATCTCATTCTTGCTGCAGCAGCGGTTATTAAACGTAATAAAAAGTCTAGTGGCCGTAATACTATTTGCGGTACTAACATAATAATAGAATGGCATAGAAGATGAACTGCATTGTTTCCCTGGTGTTTTTTTTTTTGAGCTGGCATTTCTGCGCCCTTCACGGTCCTGCCGCACAGACGAGTCTCATTATAAGCGCGTTTGGTGTGTGCACTGTCGCTGGTTCTGCAGCTCGATATGTGCAAGTTCCCGCTGCATCTGCACCGTGTGATACGCATGTGCCGCGCGCCGACCGACGATGAAAACCAGCTTCGCTCCCAAAGCAAGGCGTGTGCGTCAAATCCAGGGATACATGTGAAAGACCTCGCTTGCTTGTATTAGATGCGCGCGCAATATTTTATCACGCGTCGCACTCGCAACGCACAACATGGACGAATGACGAACAATACGTCCACGAGAACAGCGCGCAACGGATCAAGCGATTGAAGGATTAGCTGGTTGGGCGGCTGGTCGGCTGATATATTGATTTGTTTATAGTGTGAATTGTTGTTGTCTGACAGCGTACAAACTATGTTTTTATGTCTGCAACAAGTTATAAACATGCTATTTGCATATTTTCTTTTAATTTTCTGTAGTTTTATAATTTTCTGTTTTCATGTGCAACATTTCAAAATAGATCCGCAAGTGCAAAATAGATCCACACACACAAAATAGAATCACGAACGCGCGATCTAGAAAACAGATCTCGCCAACCTCGGGGGAGTCGGTGGGGCCAACCACTCGCTCCGCTGCCAACCTCGTTCTCGTCAGAACTTATCCCCGAGCGTCTCCCTCGGACACTGGGGTTCGTCACCAGCTCGAACTCGATCGATAGTGCCGACAGCCGCTATCGCCGCCCCCACCCGATGCCACTGCCGTGGGAGGGAGCCGCTATCTTTTAGCTCGAGCCCAAGCGCCGGCGCTGCACACACGCGTCTCAAACTGTTCATCACACAGAATCTACAACGTGGAAAAGAGGTGACGGACGTTCACCGCTCGACGACCCTCGCCAGCAGGAGGAGCCCGCGCGGGCGCCCGCCGGCACCCCGGCGGGTGAAGCCTGCGCCGGGCGCACCCAGCCGGCCGACGACGCCTCGGCGGGCACAGCGCGGGCGCGAGGCGCCCTCGAGGCGTCCACGTGGTGGTTGAAACCTCGGCGGACCAAGGTAGGCAAGGACAACTCGGTGGAAGCACCGTCTGCAGAAGCACCGTCTGCAGAGGCACCGTCTGCAGAAGCAGCTGTGGTGGCGGGGGGGAGAGCGGGAAGAGAGGGAGAGAGCGGGAGAGCCAAACAAGTAGGCAACAAAAATCCATCTTCCCCGTCCCCTCCATCCTCCTCCCTCCGTCCATCTCCTTTCCCCGTCTCCCTCGGCGTCTCCTGCTAGGCAAATATCTCCCCATCCCATGCCCCCTCCTCAGTTCTCCCCCCTCCGCATCCCTCCTCCTCCTCCGCCGCCGCCGCCGCCGCCGACGACGACGACGACGCGACCACGACGGGGACTATTGGGGGGACAGCGCCGCCGCTGGCGTTAGGTAGGGCCTGTCCCCCTACAGGGGGATTTTGGACGGACAAAAAAAAAAAACCCAAACATATCCAAACATATTCAAAAATGGATTAAAAAAATCGCCCCCTGACTATTTTTTACTATGTTTGAATATTCCTCCTGTAGAGGGACAGGCCCGACTTAAGGCTGGCGACGTCGACCAAGACGGCGGCGGCGGCGGCCCCTCTGGGGGGCCTCGGCGTGGTGGGCCAGGAGCTTCTCGTACTTGCGGCTCATGTCGCGGAGGTTCCTCTCGAGCTGGCCGATCCTCTGGTCCTGCGGGCGAGCCGCGTGGAAGCACGAGCGGGCGGGAGGGGCACGGGGAGGCGCTGGCGGAGGAGGAGGAGGAGGAGGAGGAGGAGTGGAGGACAGGGCAGAGGAGGAGCACGAGGAGGAGGAGGAGGAGGAGGAGGAGGAGGAGGAGGAAGGGGAGGAGGAAGGGGAGCGGGGAGGAGGAGGAGGAGGAGGATGAGGACCAGTGTAAACCCAAGACTCATCGACAATGCTGAAATACACCCTCCAAAATCATTCTTCATAGGCGTCTACAAAGGGTCATTTCCACTGAAGGAATGGCCCCGCTGGGGGACAACCGTGTGAACATCCTGAAGCGTGCCAAAACACAATTCTCAGGACTTCCACGCCACGAATTCGCCTGACTGTCACGCCACTGTTGCATCGTGCCAGAACGTCGTTCCTGAGACTTCAACACCGCGAATCAAGGTATGTGTTGCGCCCTGGCACCCCTGAACCGTTTCAAAACACAATATGTGGAACGTTGGCCGTGAACATAAATGAAGCAATTGCAGAAATTAGAACCAACTGTGCTCGACACTCAAAAGAGAACCTCATGTTGAAAACGAGCCGCCCTCAACCCGTCAAACTCTGTCAAATGTGTGAAAAGAAGGTGCGCGGCGTTCATGCGATAAACGCATTTTGACAACGAGCCGCCCTCAATCCGTGAAACTCTTGCACATGTTTAAATCGAATGTGCGCGGCGCTAAAACGAGAACCACTATTTGAAAACGAGCTGCCCTCAACCCGTGAAGGTCTTGCAAATGATCGGATCGAATGTGCGTGGCGCTAAAACGAGAACCTCATGCTGAAAACGAACCGCCATCAATCCGTGGAACCCTTTTAAATTTGCAAAACAAATGTGCGCGGCGCTAATGCGAGAAACACAACTTGTAAACCACCCGACTTCAATCCGTGAAGCTCTTCCGAATGTGTAAAACAAATATGCGCGGCGCTGAGACGAGAACCACATTTTCAAAACGACCCGCCCTCAATCCGTGGAACGTTCCTGACTTTTCAAAGCGAATGTGCGCGGCACTTAAGCGAAATCTGCAATTTGAAAACGACCCGCCCGCAACGTGCAAGTCTCTTACAATTATTCGAAAAAGATGTCGCGCGGCGCTAAGGCGAGAGCTACGTGTTGAAAACCACCGGCGCTCCATCTTTGAAACTGCTGCTTGTTTGAAAACATATCGGATTCATAACAAGCATGAAAGTCCCAGGCGAACCGCCGGGTCTGCCCTTTCGACTGGCTTCGGGGTGCGACAGGGAGCAGTTACAGTGATGGCTCGGCCACAAGAAACCTCCGCAAGAAACCCGACCCTGAAATCCGCGATCTGTTTCGTGAAAATCCACATGTGTCGATCGAAAGTCGTCAAGATCTGACTGGGATCCCATCGACATCCAAGACACCCAGGGCACCCTGGAAAATCCAACTGGTTTCTTGGCACGCCGCCCCACTGTGTTAATATACGGCCAAGGAGGGCATGAGGAGGCAAGGGCGCCGCACTTCGCGCTCCCGCGCCGCCCTCCGGGGGAGCAGCGGGTGACGAGGCGGAAGTGGGGCCGAACCGAGAAGCGCGAGCAACTTCGCGCCGTCGAGGGCGCCCTTGTTGAGCATGGGCCGACCCTCCCGGCATTCTTATAGTCCTACAACGGAATGTTCTTAGAACCCAAAAACGACCTAAGAACAAAAACAACATGTTCTCAGAACAGGAGCCCGATGCGATAGAACCAGACAGACTCCGCCAGAAAGGTTCTAAGAACACTTCGTGGAAACAGCAAGACGCTCTTAGAACCCTGTTTGGCAGGGCTACAAGCGAGCCAGGACGCTTTGCCACTGCTTGACCTTGAGGAGGACGAGGAGGAGGAGGAGGAGGAGGAGGGAGGACGAGGAGGAGGAGGGAGGACGAGGAGGAGGAGTTGGAGGGAGAGGAGGAGCAGGAGGAGGAGGAGGAGGAGGAGGAGGAGGAGGAGGAGGGAGGAGGGAGGAGGAGGAGGAGGACTGACGCTGCAGCTTCGCTGTTCGAGCCCGCCCAAGGCAAAACAAAAAAAAGAGGGGGGAGGAGCAGCACGGAGGGAGGGGGAGGGGGCGAGGGACAAAGCTGGGTGCGCTCGCGTCACATCTGACGAACCTACCCCTCCCTCCCATCATCTGCCATGGCGTGGAGCTCCTCTCTATTCGCACAAATTGGATGTCGTAGCATGGCATAGCATTACACGGTATACCATGATGTCGAACATCAACGCGTAGCATGACATAGTATGGCGTGGCGACGCCTCAAAGTGTGGGGGGGCTTCCGCGGCCTCAAAGCTCAACGAATCGACACCGAATGTGTAATCACGTCCGATGCTTTTTTCGGGGGTACATTTTCTAGATTTGGGAGCCTAGTTGGAAGGACCGAACACCATGACGTGGCATGGCGCTGGAAATAATGACGCCAGCACTGCAGCGGGAGCAAGATTCGGAACGAGCAGAAGCGCGGGAATGAGGCCAGCGCTGCAGCGGGAGCACGATTCGGAACGAGCGGTAGCCCGAAAATGAAGCCAGCGCTACGGCGAGATCAGCATTTTGAAGAACAAACCCAAGCGAAGACCCAACTCCCAGAAATCCTGTGTAAAAACCAATGCGCGGAGGGGTGCCAAAACATTACCCGGACGCCACCAGAGGAGAGAGAGGAGAGTCGTATTCATATGGTGTATATATATATATATATATATTGTAGGGAGGAGGAGGAGTGGGAACGAGGAGGGCTGGGAGTGGAAAAGGAAGGGGGGGAGATGAGGGAGCAGCAACAGGAACATGAGAAGCAGAAGGAAGGAGCGGCAGGCAAGGATCCTTCTTCTGCATCTTCATGTCGATCTCTGCCTGTTCCACCCGCAGGGCAGAGTCCAGCTTCACCTGGTCGTGGTAAAGCAGCATGAGCTGCTCCATCCTCTGCTTCGCCTGCGAAGCACTGCGCCTCATGTGCTCCATCCGCGCGCTGTCCGAGTCGCCGGCGCCGCCGCCGACTGGCGGGGTGGCACTGGGAACCGGTCGACAGGCAGCCCACGCGCAGTCCTGTGGCGCCGAGGCCGTCGTCTTCAACGTCCCATCTTTTCATCCCGAGCCGCTCCTTTTCGGAGGCCCATACCCATCGGTCGGAAGAAGTAGGTAGAAACATGAAGTAGGAAGGCGTTAGAAATAGATTGGGTTTCCGCATGCCTCCTGAAGAGGAAGGAAGAGGGAAAACCACTCGACTCTTGAAGTAGGAATGCGCTGAAAGTAGATTGGAATCTGGGAATCCAAAAATACCTACTTTCAACGACCGATGGGTAACCGTGTGGTGACGGACCGCGAGGTGACCTCGGAACCCCCCGAGGCCGCACCGCCCGCTCCGTCAGCGCACGCCTCTGGCTGGGACCTCGGAGGTCCCAGCCGCTCGAGACGTCCTCGGAAAACGACTCCAGGTCCAAAACCGCGCAGTGACCGCGTATCGCCACTGACTCACCTCGAACAACAAAAAACGACACCATGACCAAAACTGAAAGCGGAAACGCCGTGTTCTTGGACGCCCGAAATGGGTACGGAAAGAATGGGCACTGTGCCCAACAACACATGTTGTCCCAAACCAACAGCGGCCGCTGGTGGGCACGCGGCCTTCTGTCTCGAATGGACACAGGCCGCGGCGGCATGGACAGACAGCGAGTCCTGTTCAAAATGAATAGGAACTTCTGCTGGGCATCGTACCCATTCTTTCCGTACCCATTTCGGGCGTCCAGAGTGTTCCCCTAGAAAAACCCGGGCCTCCCGCGAAAACTTCGCGAGAGCCCGGCCCTCCCGCGGCCGACGCGCACATCCCGAGCCCGCGACCGGCTCTGCGGGGCCCGAGGCCGCGGCCTATACGGAGGCCCCTTTCTTCGGCGTGGCGGCAGCATCGACTGGAGCCGCGCCGACCCGTCTCTCGGGACGCTTCGGCGCGCACGGGATGTTCGTGAAGGGGCCCCAGGACACACAAATATAAATACACACAAATCGAAAGATTCCCAATGTTTTCCCGTATTTTCTGGGTTTCTGTCTTCCCCCCCACTTCCCTTTTTATTCCATATGTTCTGGGGAATCGAGCACTAAACCGGGTAACGCCTAAACGGGGTAACAGACCCACCCAGGAATCCAGGTGGAGAAACTGCAGCGACCAGAACAACAGAAAGGCACGGCATGCTTCTGCAACGCGAGAAAAACTGCACTGCAATTGGTTGGCAACTAATTGCGGAAAAACTGCTAACAAGCCCCACAGACCGGACAACAGAGGGCCCAAAACAAAAAGTTGCAGTGCAGCAGCCGAAAATGTGCAACGCAGTCAGCATGTGGAAGGTGCTGCATCGAACGCGAAAGCTAAAGAAAACTGCACTGCAACAAAAGGGCCATCTGATGCCTCGAACCGGCCGTTTCCTGTCACCACGTCTGCTGTTACCCCGTCTCTGGCTCCCTGAGGGGCCTCGAGAAGCGACAATCCGGGACGATACCGGGCCCCTCCCATGTGACCGTTTTTTTTTGTTTTGGGCAACGGCCGTTACCCAGGAGGGGGGGGAGAAGGGGGAGGTCGGGAGGGTAACCGTAACGGCGGCCGCGGCGTGCGCCCGCCAGGGTGCGTCCGCGCCACCGGCGCATCAATCGCCTGTGTATTGGGCGCCCGAGTTATTCGGGGTAACTCGGGTCCGGGGTAACTCGGGTTTGGATTCCCGAAAAAGGAACCCGAGTTAGCCCTGACCCGAGTTACCCCTGATGATTCGGGGCTCTGGGCGCCCGAGTTATTCGGGGTAACTCGGGTCCGGGGTAACTCGGGTTTGGATTCCCGAAAAAGGAACCCGAGTTAGCCCTGACCCGAGTTACCCCTGATGATTCGGGGCTCTGAGTGTACTCGACAGTGCCCAATGCTCGCGTGCAACACAGCGCCACTTGTTTACACATCACAATGCCTCCGTCCAACCCCAACAGCCGCGTGCACTGCAGCACCACGTCGCCCATGCACACCGCAGTGCCTGTGCACACTGTAGCAATAGTTGTTTATAAAAAAGAGTTTATATACAACCATTGTCTATCATTTGATTATTAAAATTAGTAAAAGAACAATGAAAAGTGGCGTAGTTACGGATTTCACACAATTGTTTAAGAAAACATCCCTCTGGAAATTGGGGCGCCTTTGGGTCCCACAGAACGCTAACGTTTTATATACACGTTTCGAACAAACTCCTATGGAAACTGGAGCGCCAGAGGATTCCACACGCGGGCACCACAATGCCTGCGTACACCACAACGCTTGTACACAACAGCAGCCGCGTGCAACACAGCGTCGGTGTACACCTCAGGCGCCTGCGTGTACCAAAGCGCTTTCGTGCACTACACCGCCTGTGTACACCGCAGCAGCTGGACCCAGTCATCATCTTATCCATGGCGCTGGGCCCTAAATCAACACGTAAATCTTATCCATGGCGCTGGGCCCAGTCATCATCATATCCATGGCGCTGGGCCAAGTCATCATCTTATCCATGGCGCTGGGCGCCTGGCACCAGTGCGTGCCGTTCGGACCACGCCATGCCTGCGAGCACAGCACCGTAGCTGCGGGGGGTCCGCTCCCAGCATGTAGTGGGGGGGGCAGGCCCCTCCTCCCCCACGGCACGATCGTTAGCGTTACCCGCGGGGTGGGCCGACTCCTGGGATCCGGCATGGGCCACAGGTGCCGCCGTCGTCGCAGCAGGACGAACGTGTTATGTGAGCGACACGGGTCCTGGACCCTGGGTCCTTTCCCCAGAATTGCTCCTTGACGGCCCCAGGGCCCGAGGAGGGCTCGGGAGGCTGGGAACCGAGAAAAAACGCAGGGTCCGCTTCCATCAAGAAACTGAAAGGAGGATCAACTACATAAACATAAACTTTGTAGCCGAAGCCAGCTACAGGCAGCAAATTTCGTAACCCCCCCTCTACCTATCCCCCCCTTTCGTCCGGCCCCGTTTTCCCCGATCGTTTTGGACGCCCGAAATGGGCACGGAAAGAATGGGTACAGTGTCCAACAACAAATGTTGTCCCAAACCAGCAGCGGCCGCTGTTGGGCAGGCGGCCTCCTGTCTCGAAGGGACACAGGCCGCGGCGGCGCGGACAGCGAGCCCTGTTCAAAATGAGCAGTAGCTGCTGCTGGGCATTGTACCCATTCCGTTCGTGCAGAATCGTGGCGAGGACGTGGCCGTCGTGGGGGCGCTACCGGGTCCTGCGCCCCGTCGGGCCCGGGCCCTCGACGGCCGCTGGCGCTGGCGCTCAGGCGCTGGGCCTGCTGCTCCCTCGAGCGGGCGGTGCCGGAGGGGGGCCACCGCTCGGGGGGGTCGCCACGTCCTTTTGAGGGGCATACAGTCACCCCGCAGAGTAAGGATGCGCGATAAGGATGCAAGGGCCTGGGACGCCCATTTCGGAGCTTCCCGAGCGGGCGCGGCCAACGAAAGTGTCCGAGGATGTGCCCAGGAAGCAAGGATGCAAGGGTACCCTTGGGAGGGATGCCTATCCTTACTCTGCGGGTCGACTGTAGTAGCCCCTTCCTCGACCCTCCATCCTCTCTCCTCGGTCCTCGGTCTCAGATTTGACTACCTACCAGACCAGCCCAACCCCAACCCAACCCGAAGACCTGAATTTCGAGTGGGGGGGGGGTATGGGCTCCATATGTTTATTTTCTCGATGTTCCCGGTCCACCCCCCAATCGAACTGGAGGGCAAATTGAGGCCTTCGGCTTGGGTGGGGGTGGTTTGGTGGGTGGTGAATATTCCCCGTCAGCGATCCTCAGGAGGAGGTTGCACCCCACTCCCAGCATCCGACGGGGAAGCATCGACCCCCACTCGCCCCTGCATCGCCAATCGGGGCTGGCTCAGAGGAGGGGAGCAGTGGCTCGGAGTCTTACCAGCCTGGAGCATATCCCTATCCCTATGCTGGGCATCTCCTCATCACGATGCCAACCTTAGGGATTCCCTTATTGTTTGAGGGCGCATCCCTAAGGTTGTCATTGTTTTTTGGCGTGTCAATCTTAGGGATAGAGGTACGTTCGAGGCTGGTAAGAGTCTGCGGTGCACCGCGCGATGGGCTCGCGGTGGCTCAGCAGCACCCCGCTGGACAGCACGGGGCGCCCAGGCCTGGAGCCTCGCCATCGCTCGCACGCCCATTCCAGGGCTGGACCTAAACGGTGTCTTGGCGTTTTCGGGGGCCGTGTTCGCTTCGACTTCGCTTTGCGGTAGAGGCGGACTGAAGACCACACGAGGGAACACGGAAACGAAACGAAAACGAATAACACCGTTCAGGTTCAGCCCTGGTCCATTCCCGGTGCACTGCTGGGCCTTCCTCGCGATGGTCCAGGATGGCCCAGAGTCTGTGGAGCTGGCCTCGCCGAGAGAAACGCCCACGTCCGAGCAGTGCCACGGATTGGCGACGAACAGGCGATCGATGGCCGATGCTTCCTCTCCTGGGCAGGTCCCCCCCGGCTGCTGCCCCTGGGCCTCCCGAGCCGAGGAGCGAGGAGCCCAGGGGTCGTCGCGTCGTGCGCTCCTCCTCCTCCTCCTCCTCCTCCTCCTCCTCCTCCTCCTCCTCCTCATTCTTATCCTCATCTTTCTCTCCTGCTCCATCTCCCCCTCCTCCTCCTCCTCCTCCTCCTCCTCCGCCTCCTCCTCCTCCTCCTCTCCTCCTCCTCCTCCTCCTCCTCCTCCTCCTCCTCCTCCTCCTCCTCCTCCTCCTCCTCCTCCTCCTCCTCCTCCTCCTCCTCCTCCTCTTTCTCCTCCAAGGAGACGCGGCGGAAACCGTTTCGGGAGGCTGAGGCCTCTGAAGGCCCTCGGCACGCCCCAGGGCTGTCAAGAAACGACTCGGGGTGAGAACGTGACCCCTGGGAGGGGTCCAGGCCGGCCCAGGACGGCCCCAAGACCCGGGCACCAAGGCGCTCCCAGGACGGCCCCAAGACAGCCCCAAAAAGGCCCCCAGAGACGGCCAAGGAGGCCTTCCGACAGGGCTCCCGAGGGTCGCAAAGAGGGCCCCCCAAAGGGGCCCTTCCCCCAAGGATGGCCCCCGAGCGAACATGTCGAGCCCCTTCCTGGAAGATAGCTCCCGAGGACGCCAGCAAGCCCCCAAGATGCCGTCAAGAGTCCCGCGAGCCCCGCGGAGGCACACAAGGTCCACCATCATGAGGCCCCAAAGAGACCCCCAAGAGGCCGAGGTCCCAACCATACAAGCAAGAGGCAACCGAGAGGCCCCCAAGAGCCCCCCCGACAAAAAGCTCCCAGAGAGTCGTCTGGTCTCTGACCCAGCTTGGCCCCCAAAATGCCCCAAGAATCCATCGATCGGCCTCATCCTCATCCTTCCGTCTTCCTCCTCCTCCTCTTCCTTCTCCTCCTGCTCCCCCTCCTCCTCCTCCTCCTGCTCCTCCTTATCATCCTTCTTCTCGCTCGGAACGCGCACACCAACAGTGATACAAGATAGGCTTGTGGAATGGGAGAAGCCAGTAAACCCGCCGACCCTGCGCGTGTGCGGGGGAGTTCTGGGTGCGTCGTCCCTGGGTGGTCCTCGGACACGATCTTTCACTCGATTTCCTCTCCCACTCCTGGAGTCTCTCCCGAGATCCTATCTGGTGCACCAAGCTCGTCGACTCGAGGAGAATCGAGCCAGGTCGCAATCGCAATCGTAAGTAGATCGCGCGGAAGTCCCTTCGCTTCGATCTCTTTCCCACCTTGGGGGAGGGGGGGAGGCGGCCCAGGGCCACAATGCACTCCCCCCCATCCCTTTTGGGAGGCGCCTTGGGCAACTCAATTCCAAAAAAACCCACGAAGAGCTCAATGTAGTCCATATTCGGCCACACATCGCTCCAAGCCGCCGAAAATGGCCTCCAGGCTGCCCAAAACGCCTCCAATACGCTCTAAGAGGCTGTTCAAATCAACCCACGAGGGCCCCAACAGGCACACTTGAATGAATTCCCCAAGAAATGTTGGAAAGATGTTCGAGATTATTGAACGATGTCCGAGGATCTCCATTGCCGGCTTCCCGACGATGCAATGCGGCCTCGACGCTCCAAATCTTGCCCAAAAGTCGCCTACGAGGCCCTCCAGACGGCGCCAGAAGAAATTCAACAACAAACATGCATGGCTCAAACGGCCTCCAAGACTGCCTGAGAGGGCCCCAAACACCCCCCCAGAGGGGCCCAAAGCGCGAACAAGAACCGACGTCTCGGCCTTATCGCCCCGAGACTTTCCCGGCTCCAAAAGGCTCCAAGAGGCCCCAAAAACCTTCCGAGAGGCTCCAACAGGCCCCCCGAAAAGCCCCCAGGAATCCCCCCATACAGCCCCAAAAGGCTCCCAAGAGGACCGAAGGGCTCCCCGAATGCTGCTAGCCAGCGAGCTTCGCCATGCCGTTCAATAGTGTTGGCAGCATTGCCCTTTCCGACCCCCAACGGCATCGGAAAGCCCAGAGAGCCTCAAATCAAGGCCCAGTCAACCCAAGAAGCTACGAGAAGACCCCCACACAAACCCCAAACGATTCAAAGTGGCCTCCATAACGGCTGACCTGGCCCAGGGTACACTCCGAGACGGCCAATCCGCCGATCCCGCGTGTGATCTGTAAAAGCTACAGCCTGAGCTTCAGCACTGCTGGGGGGGGGCCCTGCAGGGGAAAGGCAGTGAGTCTTTCATTTCCAGCGCCGCTCCCGCGCTGTGCGGGAGGAAGGGTGCGGGGCGGCTTGGCCGGAGAAGATGGGAGGGGGGGGGGCAACGCCGCCAAGGCCGCCAAGACGGCCCCGGAGAGCTCCTACATTCTCAAGATGGCCACAAGACGGACCAACAGGCCCCGTAGAGGCCCGAAGAGCCTTCCAAGGGAACCCCCAAGAGAGCCCCAAGAGGCAACTATCATAGATGTCTCTTGGATTGCATACGTACGTGTTCTGAGGTTCTCGCCTTTCCGAACTTTCGACGCTCCAAGACGGCTCAAGAGGCCCCCAAGACGGCCCATGACAACCCAAGAGGCGCCCTGCGAGGCCCATGAAGGGCCCGAGACGGCCCCGGAACATGAACGGACGACTCGAGCCCTCCGCTCCAAGAGGCCCCCAGCACACCCCACGAAGCCCCTGGTGGCTCCCAAAATGCCCCCAAAAGGCCACACACAGGAGGCTCCCAGGAGACCCAAGAGTCTCCCAGACTGCGCTCAAGAGGCTTCACAACCGCCTGCAGGAGCCCCCTACGAGATCCCAGCGAACCTCCAAACACCTCGGACCCACAACCTGGGCACGCGGGATGGGTCGACGGCCACCAGAGAAGAGAATACCGACACGACGCGAAAGAGCAGCTGCCATACAGAAGTATTCACGCTACGACCCGTCCAACGACCCAACAAGAGCCAACCCGTCCGACAACTGGCTCGCCAACGAGCTCGACTGGCGCACACGACGCAGACATTGAATTGAACACACAGTGCCTGAAGCGACTGCCAACGCCCTCCTCCACCTGCGCCTCCTCCTCACCCTCCTTTTCCCCTTCTCATCCTCCTCGTCCTCCTCCTCCTCCCTCCTTTTCCTTCATGCCTCCTCGAGGCAAAGCTCACAAACTACCTGCGGAGCAGGACGAGTTCGCACGGTGCGTCCCGGAGCGCCCAGGATCGGCGGCACAGGCCAGAGGCTCCTACAGCGCTGCTCCCAAGAGAGAGCCAGGTGGCATCCGAAATGGCCAGGATGGCGGATTCTTGCAACCGACAGAGTCCACGATGCCCTCACTTGCCGTCGCTCGGACGTCCATTTCCCGTGCATTGTTCGGTTTCGTGCGTGTTTGTTTGCTCGATGGTCCAGGATGGTCCTCGATGGTTCTCGCCGATAGAAAAAATGCACACGTCCGAGCGATGCCCAGACAGAGTCCACGATGCCCTACAGGGCAGGCGAGGATGATCCGAGAACGCCGAAGACGGCCGCACGACTGCTCCGAGAAGGTCCTCTCCAGAACCGAGCCGAGGACCGAGCAGGGAGCACCGGCCAGGCTTCTGCAGTGGGAGCTCGACCACAAGAGAAACCTTCCTTAAGAAGCCCAACCCTGAAGACCCGGGATGTCCGTTGATTTTCGGTGTGGCACCGTCACGTTGCCCAACGCAACCCCGCTCGAGCTACGCAGGAAAGTCGTTTCCTGGCGTGGGTCTCCACTGCAAGCGTCTTTCGGCATGCAGGGTACCCCTGGGGGGGGCGTCGGGTTGGCCTGCGGTCCTCCTCCCCCTCCGCGGAAGGAGGTGGCGATCCCCTGGGGTTGACGGAATACCTGCCACACCATCGGGTCGGGCGAAAAGGGGGAAAATAAAGAGAGGGGTTGAGAATCAGCTCACGTAGCTGATTTTCCCGGCACCTCCCGGCGCCGGAGGGAGCTATGTATCGAGGAATGGGCCCCTCGGTGAGGCCGAAACCAGCTGCATGGAGCAAATTTCGTACATCCCCTTTCCCAATCCCCCCCTTTCGTCCGGCCCGAGACCACCCCGACCCAACCCGAAGTCCCCAAGTTTGGGTTGGGGGGCGTACGGGTTGCATCAGCGTGTTTGTTTCAGACGTTCTGCGATGCCCCCACCCCACCTGGAACGGAAGGCAACCTGGGGCGGTCTGGTTGGGTTGGGGTGGTCTGGTGTTAAGTCGGGCGTGTCCCCCTACAGGGGGATTTTGGGCGAAAAATGAAAAATAGTCAAAACATGCCCCCCCAATGGGCAAAAATAATCAGAAAAAAATCGTCCCCAGACTTTTTTTTTTTTTTTTTTTTCAATTTTTGAATTTTCCTCCTGTAGAGGGACAGGTCCGACTTAAGTCTGGTAGGTGGTGAGGCCGACCCCCTTCTGGCACTGCCTGGCCTCAGGGCCAGGGCCGCGGCGAGCTCCTGGTTCTCCCTGGTGAGCTCGGACACCCTCGCTGAGCGGGCGAGAACGGTATATAGAATGCACTTTCCGCCGTCGGGGACCCCTGCCCCAGAGCGGCCCGAAGGTGCCCACCGCAACGTGCCGCCACGGGAGTGTCAACTTTCCAGCCGCCCTGGTGCAGGCGTCCCTGACAGCGGAACAACTTGCAGTGGAGGCTTGTGTTCCCGTCACGCCAGAGCGGGACAAGCGTGAACACATGTGGTTCCCTTTCTGCTGAGAGCGAAGCATGCGTGAAAACCTGTGGGTCCCTTTCGCGCCAGAGCGGAAGAAACACACGCGGAGCGTTCTTCGCGCCAGAACGGGGCAAGCGTGAGCACACGTGAGCCCCCTTCGCGCCAGAGCGGAACAAACGTGAAAACACGTGGGTTCCTTTCTGAGCCGGAACAGAACAAGCGTGAAACCACGTGTCCCTGTCGCGCCGGAGCGAAGCAAGCGTGAAAGCACGTGGGCCCCTTTCGCCCCAGAGCGAAACAAGAATGAAAACACGTTGGACTCCGTCGCCCCAGAGCGGAAGAAGAGTGAAAACACGAGGGCCCCTGTCGCGCCAGAGCGGAGCAAGCGTGTAAACGCGTGGATCCCTTGCGCGCCAGAGCAAAACAAGTGTGAAAACACGTAGGTTCCTGTCGCGCCAGGGCGGGACAAGCGTGAAAACACGTGGGTCCCTTTCTGCCGAGAGCGAAACAAGCGTGAAAACCTATGTGCCCCTTCTCGCCAGAGCGGAAGAAACACAATCGTGATAACACGTGGGTCCCTTTCGCGCCAGAGCGGAACAAACGTGAAAACACATGGCTTTGGCTCGGGGCAACCAGATTGAATACCCCTTCTGGGTGGCCTGAACAAACAAATACAGGTGTTTCAAGCGTCGGGCATCTATTTTAGAGACCCTTCTTGGTGGCCTGGCCATGTGAACACATGTGGTTCCAGCGAGTACCGAAGTGCAGCCATCTTAGATACCACCCTTGATGGCATGGACACATGAGACATCCTCGACACACTTGTATAAACAGAGGCGTTTCGCTAGAGACATCCTCAACTTTTAATTCGCCGGCCCTGCGCGACCTCTTTCTTTATCGCGGCAAAAGAACTTCGCCGACCCTACGCAAGTTGAGGCCCGGCACCAGGTTTACCTGCTGGAAGAGAACCCTGGGTCTCAGCTCTTTCCAGGGCAAAGCCTTCGAGAAGGTCCCCACATGGCCTAAGATGGCCCTGCGGCGGCAAAAGAGGCCTCCAAAACGGCCAAAGGATGGCCTTAAGAGGGGGCCCAGAGGAACCCCAACAGACATTTCGAGCTCGCAGCCCCAAGAGGCGCGCAGGAAGGCCCCCAGAGGCCCAGGAGGCCCACTAATATGCTCCCGAGACCTCCAACAACCCCCCCGTCAAGACCCCGCAAGAGGCCCCCACGAAGCCCCCTATGAAGCCCCCCAGAGGCCTCAAGACTGCTCCCTGGAAGCTCACGAGAGCCCTCCGAAGAGACCCCAAGAAGTATTTATGAGGACTCTGATCCACAACCCAGGTAAGTCTTAGGTCGGGCCTGTCCCCCTGCAGGGGGATTTTGCACAAAAAAACTAAAACAAATACTTACACGGTGCTCAAAAGAGGCCCCAAAAAGACTAGAAAAATTGTCCCCTGACTATTTTGTTTTACTATTTTTGAGTATCCCCCCTGTAGCAGGATCATGCAGCCATCGTGATGCTAGATGCGCTGGCGGCACGAGCGAAGCGATCCGATAGGCTTCCGGAGCTCCGCGCGGACTCCTTGCACTGGCGCTGCGTTCGACGTCCCCGGCGCAGTCTGCGCGCCCTGGGGGGGAGGCCCAGCGCCGATCCAAGGGATCCGCGCGGACCTCCGACAGATTATGTTTTATGCCGTTTATCATTCCTGGAGTCGTGGAAGCAACCTCCAAGAAGAGGCCGATCGCTTCCAGCCCCCTGCCTCCTTCGGAGGCCTCCCCCCTTCCCCGGCCACCGACCAACATTCGGTCAATGTCGCTCCGAAAGGTTGCCCATCCTGAGATAAACCCTGGCCAGTTTTCCGAGCTACGTCCACCTGTGGTGACGAGGATCCTCAGAAGCGTGCGCAAAACCTCCAACGCGACATCGACGGCGACCACGACGACGACGCCACGCCAGCCTCGCCCTCTCGCCATGGAGCTCCTCCGCCAGTTCCTGCACGCGGCCCATGATCTCGTCCTGGAGGAGCCAAGAGAGATACTCATGCTGCCCATCCGGGGACCTCTCCTCAGGTGCACTCGGACCAAGACTTCGTGGCAAACATGTGGCCGTGGCGACGAGGAAGGGCTGGGTACAGAAAGATAGACATGCATGAACATGAACGCTCGACGGCCCGCGCAGAGTTCTTGGATCTGCGCTGGAACCTCCAAACCGCGCAGATCCACCAAATCCGCGCGCACAGTCGGAAGTTTCTGTTTATGCAATTTTTCCCCGTCACTTCGATCAAGGGCCGCGCTGCCGCTGTTCGGGGATAACATGATCGACCCACGAACGCGGAAAGGGATGTGGAAATGTGAGGCATGGCAACGTTCTCAAAGACACCTGATTGGGAGACGGGCAATTGCAATGCTGAATCTATCGATCTTGGTGTACCATGCCAAGGGCTGTACTTTGCTGTGCCGTGCTGAATTGCGGTGTGCCATGCTGCGACTGTGCTCTATAGCGTCGTGGATAGTCCTTCTTGGCATTCGAGTCCGGACCGAACTGATCTGGATCGTAAGCTCGAGTTGCTGAGCACACAGTAGCTGCCCCAGAGCTAGTTGAAGTGGAAACGTGGAGCACGTTGATTCAACTCGACCTCAAAATCCGACTCAGCTCCGAAAAGGAACGACACCACACGGGGCACAGGCTCACGGACGCGCCACAGGATGTGCCAGGGGCGCAATAGGGGATGCGCCAGGGGAGGTGTCAGAGGACGCATCAGGGGACGTGTCCTGGACGTGTCAGGGACCTGCCGCGGGACGTGCCAAAGCGCGTGCCATGGGGCGGCCGAAGGACGTCATGCCAAGGGACGTTGCACGGGGCCCGCCACGGAACTGGCAGGGGAAACGCCTGGGGACGAGCAAGGCGCGACAGAGGACGAGCCAGGGAAGGTGCCACGCCGAGAGGCGTGCTAGGGGACGTGCCAGGGTACGAAACGCCAGAACGTCGCCAGGGGACGCGCCAGGGGACGCGCCAGGGCGCCAGGGTACGCCCCACGGACAGGCGGGGTTGGACTGCGACGCACTCTACTGCGACAAACGTTTCGCTTGAGACGTCCTCCAGAAAACCCTGATGTTACACATCCGCCTGGGCGACCTGGACACGTGAAACCAAGTGTCTCGTTCGAGACGTTCTCAGCACCTCCTCATGCTAGACATCTGCCTGAGCGACCTGGACGCGTGAACAGAAGCGTTTCGCTCGATGCGTCCTGCCCAAATCCTCATGTTAGACACCCGCCTGGGTGACCTGGACACGCGAAAACAAGCGATCCGCTCAACACATCCATAATGCAGCTTCATGTTAGACATCAACCTGGGCGTCCTGGGCACGTGAAAACAAGTGTTTCGTTCGAGACATCCTGAACTCATCTTCATGTTAAGCAATCCGCCTGGGTGACCTGGGCACGTGAAAACAAGCGTTCCGCTCGAGACGTTCTCAACATCTCCTCATGCTAGACATCTGCCTGAGCGACCTGGACGCGTGAACCGAAGCGTTTCGCTCGAGACATCCTGCCCAAATCCTCATGTCAGACATCCGCCTGAGTGATCTGGACACGTGAAAACAAGCGTCTCTCTCGCGAGAGACATCCTCAACGAATTCTCATGCTCGACATCTGCCTGGGCGACCTGGACGCGTGAAAACAAGCGTCTCGCTCTAGATATTCTCAACACCACCTCATACTAGACATCTGCCTGGACGACCTGGACACCTGAAACCAAGCGTCTCGCTCGAGACATCCGCAAGACCTGGGCACGTAAAATCAAGCATTTCACCTGAGACATCCTCTGAGTTCTGGTCCCCAGGAGAGAAGCGATCTATAGCACACAACAAACGTTTCGCTCGACATATCCTCAACAATATTTGCAATCCCAGCGTTTCGCTCGAGACGTCCCAAACAAACGAAATATCTTCTTCACCCTGTGTTTCATCGATCGGAATTTTGTTTGGAACAAATGCTTCGCTCGGGACATCCTCTAAATTCAGTTTCGCTGGCCCTACACGACCTCTATGTTTATCGCAGATAACTTCGCCTGCCCTATACATATCGATTCTGGGGGCCAACCCCTAAAAGATAACCAACGGGGCCCGCGCCCGTTCCGGAAACATGATCGACCCACGAACCCGGAAAGGAAAATAGAAATGTAACGCATCACAACGTTTAAGAGACACCTGCTTGGGCGACGGGCAAATGCAATGCTGAGTGTATCGATCTTGATGTACCGTGTTTAGGGCTGTGCTGTGCTGCGCAGTGCTGAATTGCGGTGTGCCATGCCGCGACTGCGCTCTATAGCGTTGTGGATCGAGTCCTCCTTCGAATCCGAGTGCTGACCGAACTGATTTGGATCTTAAGCTCGAGCTGCCTGAGCACATAGAAGCTGCCACAAAGCTAATTGAAAGGGGGACCTGCCAGGAGGACGCGCCGCGGACCGTCCCAAGGGACGCTCCAGGCAACGTGCCAGGGGACGTGCCATGGGGACGCACCGCGGGACGTGCCAAGGGGACGCGCTACGGAACGTGCCAATGAACGTGCCACAGGACGTGCCAGGGGACGCGCCGCGCGACATGCCAGGGACGTCACCACGGGACCCGCCACAGAACGTGCCAGGGGACGTGCAAGGTTGCAATGCTGAGTGTATCGATCTTGATGTACCGTGAAGAAGGCTGTGCTGTGCTGCGCCGTGCTGAGTTACGGTGTGCCATGCCGCGGTTGTACTCTATAGCGTTGTGTATCGAGTCCTCCTTCGCATCTGAGTGCTGACAGAACTGATCTGAATCTTAAGCTCGAGCTGCCTGAGCACATAGTGGCTGCCCCAGAGCTAATTGACAGGGGGACCTGCCAGGAGGGCCGCGGGCCGTCCCAAGGGACGTGCCAGGCAACGTGCCAGGGGACGTGCCATGGGGACTCACCGCGGGACGTGCCAAGGGGACGCGCTACGGACCGTGCTGGGGACAGGCGTTTCGCTCGAGACATCCTTCCCAAATCCTCATGCTAGACATCCGCCTGGGCGACCTGGACACGTGAAAACAGGCGTTCCGGTCGAGACGTTCTCAGCACCTCCTCATGCTAGACATCCGCCTGGGCGAACTGGACACGTGAACATACGTGGTTCGCTTGAGACATCCTCAACACATCTTCATGTCAGACGTCTGCCTGGGTGACCTAGGCACGTGAAAACAAGCGTTCCACTCGAGACGTTCTCGTTCTGGACATCCGCCTGGGCGACCTGGACACGTGAAAGCAAACGTCTCGTTTGAGACATCCTCAACACATCCTCATGCTAGACATCCGCCTGGGCGACCTGGGCACGTGAAAACAAGCGTCTCGATCGAGACTTCCTCGACACATCCTCGTGTGAGACACGTGAAAGCTCGTGGTTCCAGCGAAGACCGCCGTGTTAGATACCCCCGTGGGTGGCCTGGACACGTGAAAGCACAAGGTTCCAGAACGCGACCACCATGGACCACCATGTTAGATGCCGCCCTGGGTGTGCTGGACACGTAAAAGCATATGGTTCCAGCACAGGACTACCATGTTGGATACCCCCCCTGGGCGGCCTGGTCACGTGAAAGCACATGGTTCCAGCGCAGGACCACCATGTCAGATACCCCCCTGGGTGGCCTGAAGACGTAAAAACACTTGGCTCAAGCGCGGGGGGAAACAACTAAAATCGGGAGCGGCCAAGAGGGGGGTGTCCAAGAGGGGGAAGTGCAAATCATGACCGGCGGCATGTGCGCGGCCCAGCGGGGGGGCCAGGGACGTAATGAAATGAGAAGAGGCGCCATGAAACCTGGGGAAATATCCTGGCCCATGGCCCACGCCATGATGTCTACCCCCCCTAAAAATCACCCCTCTCTTTGCCGCCCCCGCGAGAACCCTGGGCCGGCGCCCATTCCGGAAAGAACCACCCAGTCAATCGAAGAGGCGGGGTGGCGCCCTTAGTGGGCCCTGGAAACGACAGGGCAGTTTTTGTTACTGGTTGCGTTTTGCCGTCTTTTGCCAGTTCCGACGCCGTTTTTGTTGCCGGTTCCGTCGCCGTTCTTTTACGGGTTCCCGCTCCCGTTCCAATCCTGGAGCCGTTTTCGTTGCCGCTTCCGGTCGCCGATTTTGTTGCCGTTTGCCTTTCAAGGGACACTTTTCGGACACGGTGAAAAAACGGCCCTGCCGTTTCCGGGGCCCACTGAGGTGGCGCCCGCGCCCCCGATGTCAAAAGTTACACCTGGCCATCGCTCGGACGTCCATTCCCTGTGTTTTTGTTCGGTGTCGTGCGTGTTTTTTCGCCAAATGATCAAGGATGCTCCCCGATGGTCCTCGCCGAGGGAAAAATGCACACGTCCGAGCGATGCCAAGACTAGGGTGGCGCCGCCCCCCGCGCCCCCGCTGTCAAAAGTTACGCGGGCAGGCCGCGGCCAGCACACAGAGAGGGAGCACTCCTTGCTCGAGGGGCGGCCTGCGCTCGCCCCCGCGCGTCGGCACCCCCTCGCGGGGGCGGCTTCATTGGGGGGGGGCGACGAGATCGGGAGGCGAAGGCACGTGCACCTGCCATGCCTCTTGGAAGGGGCCAAAGGACACATAAATACACACATACATGAAAGGATTCCCCATATTTTCCTTGATATTCTGTGTTTCTGTCTTTCCCCCCACAGCCCATATGTTCCAATACTTGCTGGGGCATCGACGATTAATTGTGTCTGTGTGTTTTTGTTCCCTCCTGACTCTAGGGGGCCCTTCAGGGCCCCTCTGCAGCACAACACGTATCCTTGTGGCCCCCCTCCCCTCCACAGTCGTTCCCGCATCACGCAGCGCCCGACCCGAACCCCGAGGATAGGGCAGGGGGCCCTGGCCCCGCCGGCACCCCGCGAGGATGAGCTGTCTTCGGGAAGCCGCGGTGCCGGCCATGCCGCTCCCATCTTACGGCGCGGGGATTCCTCTGTGTCCGTCGCCTGGGGGGCCGATGACCTGGGGGATCCCGGGGGGCGGTGGTCATGGCCACATGCTGGCCCCATGGAGGGACGATCAGGCATATACACGCAAAAGCATGTATGTATGCACTTGTGCATACAAGTCCACACCTGTATATACATACATGCATACATTAATCCGTACAAGCATACATACATACATGCATGCATGCATGCATACATACATTCATACACACATGCATATATACATACATACACACATACGTACATACGTACATACGTACATACATGCATACATGCATACATGCATACATACATACATGCATACATACATACATACATACACACACAGACAGACAGACAGACAGACAGACAGACAGACAGACAGACAGACAGACGGACGTACATACGTATATACGTACAGACGTAAATGCATAATTCATTCGTTCATACATACACACGTACATACATGCATGCATGCATACAAGTATGCACACATGCATGCATGTACACGCGTGTCGATGTGTGCGTGTATATGAATATATGTGTATATATAAGTGTGTATATAGAAGTGTGTGTGTCTCTGTATCTATATACATATACACACCCATACCCGCCGCGTGCCGAGCCCCCCGAGCATCGATCCCCCGGGCTGTGATCCCGGACAAATCCCCGCCTTCGGGTCCCCGCCGTCCGCGGCCATCGCGGGGGGGCCGCCGGGCGCCGCCCCGGCGGCGGCCCTGCCCAGCAGCAGCTCGAACGTGGCGAGCCTCTGGCGGAGCTCCGCCACCGTCTCGTCCCGCCTCTCCTCGGCGGGGCGCGCGCGCCGACGGTGACGCCCACGATGATCGTGCGGAAACGCGTTAGTAAAGTCTGCGCGATTTTTTGATGAGCAGCCTTCATACATATGTCGGAGGTTAGGGGGTGAGATCGAAGTGGAACGGAGAGCCCCCCTACCGGGAAATCGATTTCGGTTTCGTGTTCGTGCGTGCCGTGCGGGCGAGGCGAAGCTGCGTGGGCGGGCGAGAAGAAAGTCTCCTGTGGCTGAGGCGCGGCCGGACCAAATGATTCTCCGCCGGGCGGCCGGTGGCGCGCGGTGTCCCGCCGGTGTCCCGCCGGTGTCCCGTCGGTGTCCCGATGATGATGTTGATGGTGATTATGATGATGATTATGATGATGGTAATGATGATGATGAGATGATTTTGATGATGGCGATGATGATGATGTTGCTGTTGATGATGATGATGATGATGATGATGATGATGATGATGATGATGATGATGATGATGATGATGATCCCCCCTCAGCGGGCAACGTGCGCTGCACAGGAGCCGCCCCGCGGCCGCGGCCGCCGCGCCGAAGCCTCAGCCCCGGTCCGCCGAGTGCTCGCCCTCGACACAAACGCAGGCCGCCGGACGAGCGCAGAGAGCGACAGGCGCTACACAGCCCCCCCGCCGCCGGCGACGAGCTCCATGAAGTCGAGCCGCACCCCCGTGAGGAGACCCGCCTCCTCCGCGTCCGCCTTGAGGATGCGAGCGCTGGCCGTGTCCCCGTCGACCGCGTCGATCCGCCCCACCGTGCCCTCAAAGAGGCCGCAGCGTCGCAAGACCACCACGTCGCCAGCGCCCACGGCCCGCCGACGGGCCGCCGCAGCCTGCGCCGTCGACCGCTGCAGGCCGTCGGCCCAGGAGTCGTCCATGGGGTCGCCGTCGGGCGGCGCGGCCGCCGCGGCTGCACCAGCCGCAGCTCCAGCTTCGGGGTCCCCCACGCCAGCCTCCGCCGCCGCCCCAACTCCACCAGGACGAGCACCTCCCCGAGAAGCGGGCGCTACCGTCGCCGACGACGCCTGGCCAGGCCGTGCCGGGCGCCGAAGCCGCCGAGCCCGTGTAGTCGCCGCTGTTGCGCCGCCAGCTCCTCCATCCTGCTGTTCCTCCGCGTCGTCGCCGTGGGCGCCCGGCACGGCAGGCGAGGGCCTGGCGCCGCGCCCCGCGCGGCCGCGCGGCCGGTGGCGCCTCCGAGGGAGCCCCGCGGCCGCCGGCTCCGGCGGGGAGGGCGCTGCCTTCGTGCCGAGCTCCACGATCGCTGCCCGGAGCAGCCCCTCGGCGGCCCGCAGCATGCGCACTCCCGACCGGGAGTGGCACGCCGCGAGCCCGCTGGCAGCATGCGCCGCCAAGAGAGCGCCGCGGGCCGCCTCGGCGGCAGCGCGGGCTCCAGAGGGACCGGCCATCGCTGCCCTTCCTCAGCCTCCACCTGCTGCCGGGGTAGCAGGCGGGCGGGTCTGTGCGGGCGCGCGGCCTGCGTCGGGGGCGCGGGCGCGCGCGGCGGGGCCAGCGTGCACGCCTTGGGCCAGTATGCCGACTATGATGATGATGATGATGATGATGATGATGATGATGATGATGATGATGATGATGATGATGATGATGATGATGATGATGATGATGATGCTGATGATGATGATGATGATGATGGTGATGGTGATGATGATGATGATGATGATGATGATGATGACGTCGATAGTGATATCGATTGTGAGATCGGTAGTGAGACCGAATGAAACACCGAATGAGACAGCGCAGGTCACTGGCATCGTCAGGAGAACAATCACCACTGTTGCCCATTGCTCGGCCCCTCCACCCCCCCCAACCTCCTTATCACCCGTAGGGTGGTCGTGTAGGTGTATATATATATATATACGTAAATATATATATATATATATATATATATATATATATATACATATGTATATATATATATATAAAATAGATATGCAAAAATGTGTGATCGTTCCAGGTGGCCGCTTTTGACTCACAAGACGCGAGAACTGGAACATGCACCGAAGCGCCTGGCTCGCCATCGCTCGGACGTCCATTCCCTGTGTTTTTGTTCCGGTTTCGTGCGTGGTTTTTCGCAAGATGATCCAGGATGCTCCTGAATGATCTCCGCCGAGAAGAAATGCACACGTCCGAGCGATACCAAGCTGGGGCGCTCCCGAGGCACGCTGCGACGATCGGCGCCGTCGTCGGCGCTCTGCTGCGTGCCGGGGTGCCGCCGGGCCGTCCCCGAGAGTTGCCTCGCCCTCTGCGCCCGGTCGCGGCTCGAAGCAGCGTGCCAGGATTGAGTCGGGCGTGTCCCCCCTACAGGGCGCTTTTCGACGAAAAATAAAAAATACCCCCCAAAAAATCCAAAATGGTCAAAAATTCAAACAAAAGAAAAAGAAAAAAAAGTCCCGCGACTATTTTTTGCCTATTTCTGAATCTTCCCCCTGTAGAGGGACAGGCCCGACTTGATGCCAGGATGGACCCCGGGGAGGGGTCCTGGGCCCCGGGTTCCCTGAGCGGCCTCTGGCCGCGCAGAGGCGGGGAGGGCAGCCCGACGAGACGGCGAGGGAGAGCATCCCCTCGGGAGGGATCCAGGGACAAGGCACGGCGGCACCAACACCAGCAGGGCGAGGAGATGCGGGGAGGCAAGGGGGGTCTTGACCAGCCTCGACCTTACCCCTATCCCTAAGATGGGCGAGCAAAAAGCGAGGACGAACTTAGGGATGTGCCCTCAGAAACTGAGGGAATCATTAAGATCGGCATCGAGGTGAGGTGATGTCAAACACAGGGATAGGGATATGTTTCAAACTGGTAAGGTCCCCCTGGTGGTGTGGTCCCCCCTCTCGCTCGAGGCATCCCCCAGCCTCCGGCTCAGGGAGGCATCGTGGACCTCCTCGCTGGAGGTGGGCCCTGTGGTGGTGCTGGTATCGCTCCTCCTCCCTCCGATCAGGAGGAGGAGGAGGGGGAGGCGGAGGAGGAGATGGAGGAGGAGGAGGAGGAGGAGGTGGAGGAGGAGGAGGAGGAGGAGGAGGAGGAGGAGGAGGAGGAGGAGGAGGAGGAGGAGGAGGAGGAGGAGGAGGAGGAGGAGAGAGGAGGGAGGAGGAGGAGGAGGAGAGAGAGGGAGGAGGAGGAGAGAGGGGAGGAGGAGGAGGAGGAGGAGGAGGAGGAGGAGGAGGAGGAGGCGTGGCAGTTCCTTCTTCAACCAACCAGCGACGGAGGAGCAGACTGGCAAACGGGCAGGCCGTGCAGGGAGCCAAGGCGAAGGCTGGCAAGACCGTGGCTGCTAGAACGGAACTCCGGGAAATCGTTGCTCTCGCGCGCTCAGCATTATTCCGGGAATGTGTGTTTTCCTCTTGGGAGACCGCTTTAGCAGCCACGGATCTGCCAGCCCTCGCCCAGTTTCCGATTCCCAAGGGCTCCCAACTTCGCGCTTCGCGCTGCGCTAAGCGCGAAGTGCGAATCACTTCGCGCTCTCGCGCCGCCTCTCAGGAGAGAAGAGGAGGCCGAGGAGGAATCGGAGCCGAACCGCGAAGCGCGAAAAACTTCGCGCCCTCGAGAGCGCCCTTGGATTCCTGCACGCGCGACTTCTCGGGAGGCGCGACGGCTTCTCGGCCGTCCCCGGCCTTCTCGGGAGCGGCCGCCCTCCCTGCCCCAGCCCCGGCAGGGCACGCGCCGCGGGGCTCCAGCAGCAGCTTGAGCTCCTCCGTGGATCGCTCGTGGTTGATCTTGACCACGTTCTTTATCCGACAATCCCGTGGGGGAGGGGGGGGGGCATATGCCACGGGCGCCCTACAGGCAAGACTGACCGTGAGGATGCAAACCGAGGATGCAAAGGGCTTTGGAAGGCCAGGCCGAGGCTTCTCGAGCGAGGCTGGCAGTCGAAAGCGCTTAAGGATAGATTGGCAAGGCAGGGATGCAAGGGTATCCTGGGGAATCGCACCCATCCTTACTTTCGGTATCGACTGTGCTCCACCTCCTCGTGTTCCTTATCGTCGTTCCTCCTCCTATGTCCTCTTCCTTCTTGCTCCGCCTCCTCCTGCCCGACAGTACCCCCCCTCTCTGAGACTTCAAGTCGCTCATTTGGGCGACGGGGGGGGGCTGCGGGCTGCGGGCCAGTGTTCACACGGTGCCCCAGGATTGGGCGGGGTCTACTTGCCTCCAACGCCTGCTCGCCATCCAGTCTCATTGGTTCGATGAGGGGATCGACTACAGAAAAGATGTACACTCAGATGTACACTCAAACTGTCTTTCCCGTCGAAGCCCACACACATACGTATGTTCATGGATCCCCTACTTGATTGGTGAGGTGGCGACATCCGAACCCTTCTCCCACCATGAGTGGCACTGCCGAGCCTGCCCTTTGCCACCAAGGCTGCTGCTGGGGGCCATTCCTCGTGCCCAAACTCCTACTCCACCTCCTCCTCCTCCCTCCTCCGTCCTCCTCCTGTAGATAGCCAATACTGGTTGCTATACTTCTGGGTAACCGAGCGTAGGCTTCAATGGTCAGCCTTGTCGTTGGACAGGAGCTGGCATCCACAACCTCGAGCCCACAGCTTGAATTGCCAGACCTCCCTGACCCCAGGCAGGCTTTGGCATCCTGCCCTCGCAACGAGGGCCCAACTGAGAGACCAACGAGTCTGGTCCGCGAGGGTGGCCGAAGCTCGGCCCCCCCTGCCGCGGCGGGCGTGGTAACTGCACGCCGCGCTTGGCATCCCGCGGGGGCCAGATTGGGCTTGGATGGCCATCCTGTACCTTGCCGTCGCTCGGACGTCCATTTCCCGTGCATTTGTCGGTTTCGTGCGTGTTTTTTTTGTTGCTCGATGGTCCAGGATGGTCCTCGATGGTTCTCGCCGAGAAAAAACACACACGCCCGAGCGATGCCAAGGTACTATCGATGGACAGGCGCTGCCATCGCAAATCGAGCCCGCCAGCGGGGATGCAAGCTTGTCTTATGGCAGGCTTGCCGCCCGACCCTCGCAGCAGGGGCACCGCTGGGCATTCGAGGGGCCGGACCCGCCGAGGTGGCCCCAAATCGGCCATCCTGCCGCTGCGGGCGCGACAGCTTGATACCAGGCGCAGTACCCAGCGGGTGCCAACTCCGGCTTGCACAGGCAACGCTGTCAGTACTGGTGCCCTGCAGGGGGCCAGTTCGGGTTTGGATGATCACCCCTGTCGAGTGACAGGCATTGGCATCCACATCCTCGAGCTTAGAGCTAGGATGCCGGCCCCTGCCTCCAGGGGGCCCTTCGGCAGCCCGCCCTCACGACGAGGGCATAACTAGGCACCCGAGGAACCTGGTCCGCGTGGATGGCCGAAGCGCGGCCATCCTGCCGCTGTGGGCGCGGCAACTGTGAGCCACTATGGGTATCCCGTGGGGGCCAGATTTGGCTTGGATGGCCACCCCTGTCGATGGACAGGCGTTGGCATCCAAAGGCGGCGCTCCGAAGGGGGCAAACGGACGGGGGTTTGGCTTCTCAGCAGGCTGGGTGCTTCTCAGAAGCCCTGGGAGGCCTGCTCGCTCGTCCTCCGGGGGGTTCTGTGAATCACGTTTCTTACTCGATAGCCTTGACCAGTTTCCCCTCTGGCCCCTTCGGCGCGCCGCCAACATCTCGAGCTGGCAGCAAGGATGCCTAGACCTGTTCTTTGGCAGGCCTGACATCCAATCCCCTCGCAACGAGGGCACAGCTGGGCATTCGAGGAAACTGGTCCACGTAGATGGCCGGAGCTCGGCCATCCTGCCGCTGCGGGCGCGGCAGCTGTCTGCCAGTCCCGGTATCCTGCGGGGGCCAGCTTCGGCTTGGATGGCCAGCCCCGTCGGTTGACGGGCGTTGACATCCACAACCTCGAGCCTAGAGCTCGGATGCCCGCCCCTGTCTTCAGGGGACTCATCGGCAACCTGCCCTCACAACGAGGGCATAGCTAGGCATCTGAGGAACTTGGTCCGCATAGATGGCCGAAGCTCGGCCATCCTGCCGTCGCGGGCGCGGCAACGCAATGCCACTGCGGGTATCCCGTGGGAGCCAGCTTGCGCACAGGGGAATGGAGCGGGGAACAATTTGGGTGTGTACGAGCCCCCCCCCCTCCCCAACCGCGCGCCTTTTTTTTTTCTCTGAATCGCAGCTGCTGGTGTCGGGGATCGGCCTGGAGAGTGCGACGAACCCCGCCGCGGCTGGAGACTTCCCGCCGCCGCGAGGGCCTCTCCGACAGGCAACCGTCTGCCCTTGCCGAGGCGCCCACCTCGGCGATCCCCCAAGCATCCCTGATGTTGCCAGGGTGTGAGGGCGCGGGCAGAAGCCGAGCAGATTCAGCACCAGTGGCTTGAGCCAACACGATGCCGGAGGCCGCGCTCGGCCTAGAAGGGCGTGCTGGCCCATCAGGTATCGTCTGCCTGGACGTGGACCTGTTCCAACAACGTTTTAGAACAGGTCAGGAGGAGCGCGCGGCTGCCCTTGAACGGCGTGTTATTCCTCACACTGGTCCTACGGGCCAGTGCCCGCTGAGAGGGTACACCGTTCCGACCCCGACCGAGTCCAGGGCATTCACCTGCTGCAGACATGCGCGTGCAGCACATGACGCTGGCTGCAGATCCCCGTGTGGTACGGGGCACGGTCGTGGTTGGCGGCTGGCGGGTGGCCCGCGGGCCGCCGGCATGGGTCCCGCGCGACGCGGAGCGGGGCCGTAAGGTTGGGGGTTCGCGGTCTGCGGGCGACCCGAATGCCGCTACTCCAGATTTCGTGATAAAGGGAGTGGGGTCTCATTTCAGGGGGGGTCTCTTCCAGGCTATCTTGGAGGGCCTGGGGGGTCTGGGGACGATGTTTTGGAGGCTTCTCCCACGGGGGAGGTCTGAAATGGCTTGTCTTGGAGGGTCCAGACCCCGTCCCTTTTATTACGAAATCTGGAGCACCTGGGCCCCATTCGACGCAGGAGCGACTCCATTTGGGTCAAGGCGTAGGTCAACCGAGGCGCGGATGACCTGCGTGCCACCAGCCGAGGCCCGTGTGGCATGGGACGGCACCGCGTAGGCCAAGGCGTGAGTGCGCTGCGCTGCGGGCGAGCCGCACGCCACTAGCCAAGTCCCGTGTGACATGGGACGGTCCTTGGTTGGGGGTGCTGGCGTAGGCTCGCCGTATTGCGAGTGACCCGCATGCTAGAATCCAAGTCCTGCGCGACGCGCGGCGAAGTTAGGGCGGTTATTTGCCAATCAGCACAGCAGGTGGCGGACAAGTCGTGCCCCCTAGAGCGTAGAACCTCGGCCACGCTCATCGGACAACACTTCGGCAACATGGCTTAGCATGCTTCAGGCGCGGCTGAGGGGCAGTGAGGCTACATTCTTCACAACATGACCCACCGCGCAAGTAACGAAGATGCCCGCCCCTGCCGATGGGCATGCGTCGGCACACCGTCGCCATTATGAGGGCGGAAAAACGCTGAAACGTGGCGATGGGGAGGCACGGGAACCTACCCCCTCGGAACGAGGGCAAACTTGTGCCTGCGAAGGTTACAATGGGCACACATGCCCACACGTACCCTCACGTCGAGTGGTACGGGGTTAAGGCGCCCCTTAAGCCATATTATTTCAAGTCCTCATCCTCCTTGCGTTCAGGCTCAAGACATTTTGGCTCAAGACATTTTGGCTCAAGTGGCGGAGTCCTCAAGCGTTCCGGATTTGACATCCCCTCCGAAGCGCGCCCCAGATCTTTCAACGAAAGGCGCTCGCGAAAGCGGGTAAACCGAGGCATTTCCGGTTCTTGCTTTCCCGATCGCGCTGCAATGTCCGGCAGCCGCTCCCCGCTGAACCTGGAGAAGGAGTTGGAGGCTGTGATGTCACAAACCCCTCCGCAAAGGCAAGGGACTGCCCGGGGGGCCGGTACTCCAGTCGGCCACCTGTTGGCGGGCAACCCGTTCGAGCAGATGAGGGAGAAGGTTGCGCGCACGGGACCTGGTCCTGCCTCGCCTTGTACACCTCTACTGGCAGACAGTCGCTACCAGCGTATGGAAGATGGCGGGGAGAAGGATGAGGAGGAAATGATCCCGTCGCCGTACGTGCGGCCGCACTTGCGGGAGGTACGAAAGGAGAGGAACTCGCAGGAGGAGCAGGTCACGATGCTCGGCATAGCGGCGCTACTCCGGCAGGAGCTGACTCCCGTCACAGCCTCGGTGGAAGAGTTGCGCCTGGGGTTCAGCGCTTTGGACACCCGCCTCAACGATTTCATGGCAGTGGTGAACAAGCGCCTGCAGTCTGTGGAAAGCAGGCTGGACGTGTCAGAGGTCAGGATCGAGAAGCTGGAGAACATGCTCAAGAATCTCGGGTCCTCTCGGCCGGCAGCCGCTGCTCCACCTCAAGGCGCCGTTCAGCATACAGCCACGGACAAGAGGCACATCACGGCCGTGATAGGCAACCTGGACGCGTTGAACAGCATGGCGGAGGCGACCACATGGCTGAAGGACAAGCTGATGGTATTGAACGGTCTGGCCCCGAACAACACGTACTCCAAGGGGGACTTCAAGGGCATCCTCTTCGCGGAGTTCCACGGGACCGCGGAGAGAGACACCGCTGTGGACCTCCTCCGTGCGGCGGGTCTCCAGCCAGGTGGAGGGAAAGGTTTGTGGGCGACGGCTGATCGTCCTGCCCCAGAGCGTGCTGCCCGGAACTTCCGTTTCGGCTTGAAGCGGTTGTTCAAAAACGAATGGCGGATCAACTACCACGTGAAGATCTCCGATGAGGCTCCGTACCTGCTCACAGTTGGCGGCGAGAAGGCGGTGACGGTCCACGTCGACGACAACGCCGCGCGATACGAGTGGCATGGCGACTGGAAGACTTGGGAGGAGCTGCACAACAACCAGGCCGTGCAAGACCTCATACAGAAGAACACGGACATGCTGTCCCGAGCTGGTCAGGGCATGAAGGGCTCGAAGGGGCAGAAGGGCGGTGCCAAAGGGCACTAGGAAACACAGCACATGAGCACAGTTTCACCCACAGTTTCACCCAGAGCATCTGTAGTTCTACACACTGCAAGCTCAAATTTTGGTACCATATCTACATCTTGCACAACAAGGTCGTATGAAGCAGAACTTTTTCGAGGCGGCTGGCTTGCCGTCTCTGGCCGGGAATTCAAAGTTGGGACTTGGAATGTGGAAGGGCTTACAGAGACAAAGGTTGTAGAGCTCCAGCGGCACATGCAGCAGGAGGACATCAGCATTCTCTGCATTCAGGAAACGCACAAGGGCAAATCCGAGTATGAGATCGCAGACGGGGGCTTCCTCCTTATCCTGTCTGGCACGGCAGAAGACGAACCGGAAGCAACGGCAGGAGTTGGATTCCTGATCTCTCCGCTGGCACGTCGCAGCGTTATTGGTTTCAGACAGGCCTCTTCGAGAATGGCGTCCCTCAAACTGCGGGTCCGCGGGGGCAAAATCGTCATCTGCAGCGCCTACGCCCCGCACAGTGGAAAGCCATTCGTCGACCGGCAAGCTTTCTTCTCCGACTTGGCCGGCTTCCTCGGCAGCCACTCCGCTCACGGACCGGTGCTGCTATTTGGTGATTTTAATGCCAGAATACACAGGCGCTTCCCCGGAGAAGAGGACGTGCTGGGGCCGTCCATTTTCGGGAACCCGCAAGCGCAGCACAACCCGGAATCAAACAGAACGCTCCTGCTCGAACTTTGCACCTCTCGTAAACTCACTGTCGGCAACACAATTTTCGACGAGCCTCCGGAGCGCCAGATTACTTACTATGATATAGGACACTCGCCGGCGGACCCCCCAATCCACCAGAACTACGGACAGCTGGACTTGGCGATCGTGTCCATGGAGTGGCTCGGGTGCTTGAAGTGTGTGCAAAGCGTCAAACACAGGGCGATCGCGTCGCATCATTTTCTCGTGGCTGCATCCCTGGACGTGGACGTCCCGCGCGAAGACAGCGGCCCCCGCGAGCCTCGACGACAGCTTGGCGCGCTTCGGGACGAAATGGTGGCGGGCACATTCTCCGATGCTTTCTGTAACCACATGAGCTCAAGTGGGTGCGAGCACGGGGGCGCGAGCGTCCAGCAGCTCGCATCGAGCATGACAGATGCCTTTCGTTGTGCTGCCCAAGACGCTCTCCCGACTCTAGCGAGGAGACCGCGGCGACCATGGATCTCTGACAAGACACTCCAGTTCATAGACCAGAGAGACTCAGCGAGAGCGCGCGGGAACACGCAGGAAGAGCGGCGCTTGCACCGAGCTGTCAGAGATTCCGTCCGGGCGGACCGTTCGGATTGGTTAGAGAGCCAACTCGCCTCTGGAGACTGGGCGCCGATACGCACCCTGAGAAAAGGAGCGCAAGCCCAGCAGGGCCGATTAGCCGACATGGAAGGTCGTCTTGTTGACTCCGACCAGCGTGCCGACACAATGGCAGAGTACCTTTGCAAAGTCCAATGGGCAGTGCGGCCGACAAGCGCAGCGCCGGACGGGGACCCCCTTGGCGACGAGCTTGCCGTGCCATGTGGCCCAATCACCGAAGACGAAGTCGTTGGCGCTGCTGCACGTATGAAGCAAGGCAAGGCATCTGGCAAAGACGATATCCCGCCAGAGTTTTGGAAGACAATCTGCCGAGCTGGGACGCCTGCCTGCAGATGGGCTGTCGAGCTGTGCAATAAGTGCTGGAGCGACGCAAAAGATCCAGCAGAGTGGCACGTGGCGCTGGTCGCAACACTATTCAAGAAGGGAGACGTGTCCCAGTGTGAAAACTACAGGCCCATCTCCTTGACGGCCGTGGGCTACCGAGTTTTCGCTGCAGTTTTGCTTGGCCGGCTGAAAGCGGGCGGGGCCGAGAGCCGAATTTGGCGAACTCAGTTCGGCTTCAAGTCCAAGCACGGAACAGCGGACGCCATTTTTCTGGCACGGCGAATTCTTGAAAGAACTTGGGCCGAGAAGGGCGGGCAGGTCGTCCTGCTGGCTCTCGACTGGGCGAAAGCCTTCGACAGCGTCTACCCGGAGTCTCTAGCACTAGCTCTTGTTAGATTTGGCGTGCCCGCGAAGTTCGTGGAGGTGGTGCGGGCGATCTACCGGGAGCGAAGTTTCTGTGTACGGGATGCCGGCTCGACCTCGGCGCCGAGGGCGCAGGAATTCGGCATCAGCCAGGGATGCCCGCTGTCGCCCTTCCTATTCGCAATCGTGATGACCGTGTTGTTGCGAGACGCGAAGGAGGAGGCCAGGCCACTGCTGGACCCCTCCCAGGCGGTGCATGAGTTGGTCTACGCCGACGACACACTGCTTGTGTCTGGCGAGTCCGATACAGCGACGGCATACATGCGCAGCATCGAGAAAGCCGGATCGCAGTACGGGCTACAGTTCAATTGGCGCAAGCTGGAAGTTCTAGCCGTTGGCTGTAATGCGCATATTCCGAGGCCAGACGGTTCCTGGGTGCCGCAGAAAGAGAGCATTCAATATCTGGGCAACTTGATTTCGAGCGACGGGAAGATCGGCCCTGAACTCTCCCGCCGACTTGGTGCCGCGCGGGCGGAATTCGACAAGTTGAAGCGAGTGTGGGGCCATTCCACGCTGACGCAGTCACGGAAGCTGGAGGTGTTCAACGCTTGCATTCTCAGTAAACTGTTGTATTGTCTGCACACGGCCTTCCTGAACCAGGCGGAGACGAAGAAGCTCGACGCATTCCACGTGAGATGCTTGAGGCAAATACTTCGCATACCTCACTCGTACATTAGCCGCGTAACAAATTCAAGTGTGTTGGAGCAAGCAGGTGCTGCCCCACTGAGCAATACTTTGCTGAGTCGTCAGCTGCTGCTCATGGGGCATATTGCCCGGAAGCCAGCTGATGATCCGGTCAGGTGCCTGGTCCTACGCCCTTTGTCATGCCAGCTTATAACACATAACTTCAAGCGAAAACGGTGGCGCCCCCAGAAAACTTGGATCGAAACTGTTTTTGCGCACGCTGTCCGGGCCGCGGGGGGTGAGGAGGCCCTGCCGCTGCTCTGGCAAGATAGCGCAATTTCTGCCGCAGCCTGGCGCGCAACCGTGAAGCGGTATTGCGACGCATTGTTAAGGCCACGGCATTTGTGCTCATGTGCTTTGCACTCAGCTTTGTCTCTCTCTCTCATCCTCCTCTTCCTCCTCTTCCTCCTCCTCCTCGTCATCCTCCTCTCTGCATTGCAGCATCTTGCACGCGCCAGCCCGCGAAGCCGGTCGGGAGCGATCATCAGAGGAATGCCTTCCCCTGCGGTCTGGGGTCAGGGGCTGCGGCCCGCAGGCCTGGCGGTGTTAAAGCGCGATCCGGCGCGGCTGACCTAACCGAGACCCGAGGTGTACCCCCACCAACCATCGCTTCTCCTGAATCGATGGGATGCGGCGGTGGGGTTCGGACTTCGCCACGTTCCCTACGAATTCAGAACCTTGCCCCCGCCGCCCATCGAGCTACCCGAGCCGTTGATCGGCGAGGGTGCGTCTCGTGTTTGACCGCCGACTGGTAATCCTAGGTGCACGCAGATCCACGGAGTTCTTCTCCTTTGGACGCCCGAAGTGGGTACGGAAAGAATGGGTACAATGCCCAACAACAAATGTTGTCCCAAACCAACAGCGGCCGCTGTTGGGCAGGCGGCCTTCTGTCTCGAGTGGACACAGGCCGCGGCGGCGTGGACAGCGAGTCCTGTTCAAAATGAACAAGAACTGCTGTTGGGCATTGTACTCATTCTTTCCGTACCCATTTCGGGCGTCCAGATCTCCTAGCTGCGTTGCACGCCGCCCGGGTGGCCCTGGGGCCGAGATGTTACGGCCAGGGTGCGCGCGCGAATCAATGCCAAGGCGCAGCACGTGCTCGATATTGTCTGATGATTGCTGCTTGCCTGATTTGCAGACCTGACCTGCGAGTGCGAGGATGTGTCTCATACAAGAGAAGCAGGCGCAAGCCTATCGAATCATCTTTGCGCGCTGCCCAAACCGCAGGGTACTTGCAGTCTCCTGCTCGTTGAAGTTGGAAGGAGAGCATGTGATGATCAGCGATGTCTTAGAATTTCCGCCGAGAGACTCCTGTAACACCCTTGTGAGTTTAGAGTCCCTGTATGGGACATGCGTGTAACTCTTATCCGTCAGGGCGTTGATAACGTTGCCCAGAGCAGAAAGCGACCGATTTATGTTCTTCGCCTCATCCAGCCGATCCCCGGATGCTCCTGTTTTGGCTACCTTTTCGCTACCTGCTAGATCCACCAAATGTAGCTTGCCCAACTTCACTGAACGGTTAAGCAAGTTCCGCTGCTCGATCGTCAACATGAAAACCAAATGAGATCTGGACGAATGCTCATTCATGTTGGTCACAGCTGTCGCACGGTTCACTTGGCCATTTCGCATGAGTTCGAAGATCTCCTGTTCAGAACCCACATAGGTCTCGGTGACCTCACCGATGAACACGCCACGCAGCTTGTCCTCGTGGATCGTCAGATTGTCCTTGTTCGGGTCTAGGAGGTCTCGGATGCGTTCGTTGTAGATTTCGACAATGGAAACTTTCACTAGGAACTCGATATGCTCGTCCGCATGGCAGATACCGTCGAACACAGACCACACCATCCGAGGGATGACCCCCTGCAACACCTTATCTTGTATGTCTGGCCCCTCCATCGTGTAAGTCTTGCCAGACGACGTCTGGCCATAAGCAAAGACAGTGCCGTTGAATCCCCGCAGCACACTGTTGACCGTGGGCCTGGCAGGAGAGCCCATAATCGAATCGATAAGTCGGATCGGGGATCGAAATTGATCGGATCTGCGGACATCGGCAACGGCGTCGGGAAAAGTCGGATCGACGGAAATCGGCAGGCTACTACGCGTCCCATAAGAAGTCGGAATCCGAATCTTAACGGGCGAAGAACGGTATGAAATAAACCTTTTCACTGTCGGGGGCGCCTGTCCCTGGGCGGCTGGAGAGTTTATACCCTTACGGTGGCACCGCGGGGTATAAACTTTCCAGCCGCCCAGGGACAGGCGCCCCCGACAGCGAAAAAGCTTATTTTATACCGTTCTTCGCTCGCTGAGAATCGGAATCCCAAGTCGAATCGGATGGGAATCGGAGGCCATCGAAATCGAATCGAATCGAATCGGAGGAGTCGAAATGAGCCCTGGCCTGGCGGCGTAGTCGTAGACGTCCTCCTGGGAGGCCTCGGGCGGGAACACGCGGTCGAACGCGAAGCTCTGGCCGGTGCCGGCCAGGCACACAGTGGTGTTCGGACAATGGCATGGGCACCCCTCAGGGCATCTTAAGTGCACTCCAGATTTCGTAATAAAAGGAAGGGAGGTCTCATTTCGGGGGGGGTCTCTTCCAGGCTATCTCGGAGGGCCTGGGGGTCTGGGGACGATGTTTTGGAGGCTTCTCCCACGGGGGAGGTCTGAAATGACTTGTCTTGGAGGGTCCAGACCCCCTCCCTTTTATTAATTACGAAATCTGGAGTACCCGTCGGACGGAAGAAGTGGGTAGAAACATGAAGTAGGATGGCGTTGGGAGTAGATTGGGCTCCCGCCCGCCCACCGAAGAGGAGAAAGAGTGGACACCGCTCGACTGCCGACGTAGGAGGGCGCCTAAAATAGATGGAGATCTGGGAAATCTCAGGGGAGATGGATGTTGACCCCTATCCCAAACTTCGTGGGGCTTCGAAAGGGCCTGGACGTTGGGGCCCGGCCCTAGGAGATACGCGGGGTGGGCGTCCATCCTCGATATGGGGTGCGTCCGGGTCTCCCCCGGCCGGGGGGATGCATCCCAGGGCGTTCCCCTTCCTTGCTGCGCCGCTCCATGGTTCGTCGACAAGCCGGGGCTCGGGATCGAAGCGTCGCCTGCGAAACAAGTACGAGGCTACCTAGGTGTGGGAACAGCCCCCCGGTCGGCGGTGGACAGACCTCCCCTTGGTAACCCCCCCCTTAGTGAAAACGGCCTGGGACCGAAACCGACGGACCTGGACCCGCAAAAATGACGGCAGCGACGCCCTCTCGCGGGCCGAAAACGGCCAATTCCTCAATCGACGTGTCGGGGTAGGAGGTCTGTCCAACCCCGACGCCTGCGAAACAAGTACAAGGCTGCCTAGGTGTGGGGTCGTCCCGCTATATCTCAGGTCGGGCGCGTCCTCCTACCTGGCGGGTCTTGGACGAACAAAAAAATGGGAAATGCTTCAAACAAATCGTCCCCTGCCTATTGTTTGACTATTCTTGAATATTCCTCCTGTAGACAAGACAGGCCCGACTTCGCTTCGGACGCCCGAAATGGGTACGGAAAGAGTGGGTACAACGCCCAACAACAAAATGTTGCCCCAAACCAGCAGCGGCCGCTGTTGGGCAGGCGGCCTCCGGTCTCGAATGGACATAGGCCGCGGCGGCGTGGACAGCGAGTCCTGTTCAAAACGAACCAAATACGCTGTTGGGCATTTTACCCATTCTTTCCGTGCCCATTTCGCTCGTGCAAATTAACGCTACTCCTGCTCGCCCTCCTGCTCCTCGACCCGTACGGTTCTTCTCCAACTCCGCCCCCTCCTTGCGGCAGGTCCGTGTCGTGTCGACCCCGGCGTTGGCTTTCCTGACACCGCAGGGATCGTTCCACCTTGAACCTTCGGGCGTTTCCGAAAAGACAGCTCGTTCCGCATCGACCGATTCTGGGTCGCCGGCGGCGTTCAACGTTGAATGCCGGCGGCGGGGTCGCCACGGGTGGACACGACGCGAACCTACCGTAATCCGGAGAGCCCCCTGGACCATCCGAGAACCCATTGCACCCCCAAGGGTCAACCAGGAGCCCTCGCAGCTTCTTCATGCCCGCCCTCCCCCGAGGTGCTCACCCAGACGCCAAATGCATACACCAGCATTGACCCCTGGAGGGCCACCTCATCAGGCTCAGGCCCCATACTGCGACACCGCGGGCATGGCGGTCCTGTTCCGCCGCAGCCCGTGCCCCATACTGCTCACCCCCTCGCCTCGCTGAGAAGCCCAGAGCTCCGACGTCGCGCTTTCGTGCACGCCGCAGGCCCCCGAGCGCTCTCAGCCCCATCCTCGGGGCATCCTCTTCGTCGCAGGGTCCTCTGACGACGGGGCCTGGGCCCCGAGACGGCCCAGGGCGCCAGGACGAAGATGGAAAAAGGCGGCCGCGGTGTTTCTGCACAAATCCTATGCGGGCAATAGTTGTATCCACACCCAGTGCGTCTTGGATTCTTGGGCTCTCCTCCCCAGAAGCCGTAGACGCACTGGATATGGATACACATCTGGCCCCAAGAGGCTTGATTTTATCCATATCCAGTGCGCCTCGGCGTTGCGGCACCTCTTCCCAAAAAGTCCACGACGCTCTGGATATGGATATAAGTACTGCCCGCATCCTAGAGGTGCCGTTCCCGCAGCGACCCACATGTCTAGACAAGCGCGTTCCACTACTCGCAAAGAAAACTGCTCGCGAAGGGCCTGGCCCCGCCAAGGAGGCTGCACGATCCGCTGTGCGTCGAGGCGAACATGTTTTTGTTGCTAGGCGCCTGCGAGTAGGCACTTTGCGAGTTGTGGAGAGCGCCCGGCGAATGTCTGCCACGTGCAAGAGTGGCCCCCGGCAGGATTGCACTCCGGCGCGCGGCTTTGCGATGCGAAAGTCGGGCGTTGGTAGAACTGGGTTTAGTGGAACCTGGTTTAGTGATCTGTTCCGGGGGCGCCCCCCCGTCCCATTTCTACTTGCCGGAACTGCCGTCACCCGAAAAAACACCAGCTATGGCAACCCTGGTTTAGTGATTCTGGCCAATTCGAAGGCTCCGGGGCCCTACCACTAACCGGGTCCCCTTACCCGGGGTCCTGGCCATACCCGAGAAAGAATAGACCTGAACGCCCGGGTTGGACCTCCAAAACCCGGGCCCGACTGAAGCCGCGCAGCAAGGTTCACTCTGGCGAAGGGTCAGCCTCAAGCGTAGGCGAGCAAGCACCCTGAGGCGGCCGACGCCACAATCCGGTGCTGCTGTCGGGAATCGTCACGCATATCCTGCCGGTGTGCCCCTGCTCGATCTGGATCTGCGGGCGGAACCTGGGCCGGGCCTTCCTCCCCCTGCCTCTTCCCCTCGTCTAGGTCCACGCTCCACCTCTTCTCCCCCCCCCTCTGTTCATCATCACCCTCTTTCTCCTCCTTCTCTTTCTTCTCCTCCTCCTCCTCCTCCTCCCTTTCTGCGTTTGTTCCTCCTCCTCCTAGTCGCCCTCTCCGGCCCCTCCTGCCTACAGACATCCTGCCAGGAGGCTCTCGCCGGCAGCCGACCGCGCTGGTCCTCGTGGCGCAGGCACGCCGTCCGTTGTTCGCTGGCCCGGCTGGTCCATCCTGCGAGTACAGGGGGCCCGTCGTCGCTGATATTGAAAATCCGTGGGCTCGTCCACGGGCCAGTAGTCCGGTCTAAAGTCCACCTTTAGGTCGGGCTTGTCCCCCTACAGGGGGATTTTTCTACGAGCAATCAAAAAATCCTCACAAAATGCCCCAAACATAATGAAAACATAGTCCCCTGGCTATTTTGACTATTTTTGAATATTCCCCCTGTAGGGTGACAGGCCCGACGTAAGTCCACCTCGATTGAGCAGGGACCGACCGTCCCGGCATTCCCATAGTCCTACCACGACATGCTCTTAGAACCCAAACATGTTCGAATAACAAAAACAATGTTCGTATAAGAACAAACTCAACGTTCTTGGAACATAAGCCCGATGAGATAAAACAAGGCAGGCTCCGCCAGAAGTGTTCTAAGAACATCTCGTGGGAACCACGAGAGGTTCTCAGAACAATGTTTGATAGGGCTATAGGTGAGCCAGGACGCTTCGCCACTGCTTGACTCGACGTCTAAATTGGTGGCCACGTGGGACAGCGTGCTCACGCGGAACCCGTGAATATCAATGCAATGCCGCAGCATATTGGGCGGCAGGGCCCCCGCGGCCGCGAGCGGTCCCCGCGGCCTCGCGCGCGGCATCGTTCTGCAGCACGGTCTCCGTTCGCGGGCTTCTCCCCCCATGGGGAGGCAGCCCCCTGTCTTGGTGTTGGTGCCCATTGCCGGGCCTCCAACATATCCCTTCGCGGTCTCCTCCCCCCCCCGGTGGAGGCAGCCCCCTGTCTGGGTGCTGGTGTCCATTTCCAGGCCTCCGGCATTTTCGCTGCCGGGCACCACAGCCGCTCTTCCGCGCCAGCTCTTTGGACGCCCGAAGGGGGTGCGGAAAGAATGGGCCCAATGCCCAACAGCAAATGTTGTCCCAGACCAGCAGCAGCCGCTGTTGGGCAGGCAGCCTCCTGCCTCAAGCGGACACAGGCCGCGGCGGCGCGGACAGCGAGGTCCTGCTCCAAAGGAACAGGAACTGCTGTTGGGCATTGTACCCATTCTCTCCGTACCCAGTTCGCTCGTGCAGATCGGTGGGTGCTGGGCTCCCGGGCTCCCCGGTTCCCGCTCGATCTCCTCGGCGAAAGCCATCCCTTGCTTGGGGCTTCTCTCTGGTGCAGTATTCGGGGATGGCTAAAACTCCCTTTAGTAAAACGTGGTTTAGTGAAAACGACCTCGGGCCCAAACCTGGCGGCCGCAAGCCTGGAAACTGACGGCCGCGGCGCCCTCTCGAGAACAGAAAACGGACAGTTCACTAATCGACGTGTCAGGGTGGGGGTTTTGTCCACTCCCGAAATATTATACCCGGGTCGCCCAACCGAGGCGGAGGACGCACGCGCCAGCTCACGTGCCGGCTCGCACGCGCCCACGGCCGGCCTCGGCCTCGGCCTGCTCGGGGCCGGGATGCTGCGCCGGCCGGCGGCGCGGCCCGGCGTCCCGCACAGCGCGGCGCGCTGTGCCGCCTGCTCGGCGTCTGCGGCGCCCGTGCGCGCGGCGGCGGGCGTGGGCGCGGGAGGCGAAGGAGGCGAAGGCATGTCCTCAGAGGTGGGGGCCCAACAAATGCACACCACCACCACGTCGATTCCTCCCCCTCTCCTCTCCTCAGTCCAGCGGGAGGGATGGGGGGGAGGGAGGTGGTGGTGGTGGTGTATATTCCTTGGCCCCCCAAGAGGTGGAGAGGCGCTGCCAGCCGGCGATGGCGCGTGAATTGATCTTCGGCGAGCGGCATCGGGCCTGGCGAGGGGGGGACCGAAGAGGCGGGGTGGATAGCACGCGGTCCTCCGCCCGCTCGCGGCGCCAAAAAGGGCCACGTTCCCCAGTGAATTACGCTGTGTTCGGGTTGCCAAAACCACCCGGGTTTCCTGGAACGCCCAGGCCGCTCGAGCTCTGCAA